CTAATCTAAGACTCCTCTTTTGACGTAACGGCTGCTAGAGCGTGTAAGCTCTCTACTTGGTGCTGAAGCTGTCTTATCAGGTGCTGTAGCTGTCTTATCAGGTGCTGTAGCTGTCTTATCAGGTGCTGTAGCTGTCTTATCAGGTGCTGTAGCTGTCTTATCAGGTGCTGTAGCTGTCTTATCATGTGCTGTAGCTGTCTTATCAGGTGCTGTAACTGTCTTATCAGGTGCTGTAGCTGTCTTATCAGGTGCTGTAGCTGTCTTATCAGGTGCTGTAGCTGTCTTATCAGGTGCTGTAGCTGTCTTATCAGGTGCTGTAGCTGTCTTATCAGGTGCTGTAGCTGTCTTATCAGGTGCTGTAACTGTCTTATCAGGTGCTGTAACTGTCTTATCAGGTGCTGTAGCTGTCTTATCAGGTGCTGTAGCTGTATTATCAGGTGCTGTAGCTGTCTTATCAGGTGCTGTAGCTGTCTATCACGTGCTATAGCTGTCTACCTGGTCGTCCGCAAGTGCTGTAACACTCTTCCACGGGTGCTTTTAAGCCTCTTGCTGTTGCTGTAGCTATCTGTCGTCGTCGTCGTCGTAGCAGCTGTCGACGCTCTCAGAAGGAATAAGCTTTGTACTGTCCGCTATTGATATAACAATGGTGCTTATGTGGCTTTGTCAGTCACACTCGTCCAGTATAGTTATTCAGGCTTGGTGCCTTCTCCTGCTTCCCTTGTAACACACATGTGCTCCTGTAACGCCCAGGTGTTAGTCGCGCCAGCCGGCTCCTGGCCAGCCGGCTCCTGGCCAGCCGGCTCCAGGCCAGCCGGCCATCAGGTGAGCACTTGACGTGATGCTCTTCGCTTCAACTGCTCTTCTACCCCTTGACGTCCACTCTATATAAGGATCACTGTGTGTGTGTGTGTGTGTGTGTGTGTGTGTGTGTGTGTGTGTGTGTGTGTGTGTGTGTGTGTGTGTGTGTGTGTGTGTGTGTGTGTGTGTGTGTGTGTGTGTGTGTGTGTGTGTATGCGTGCGCGCGCGCGTGTGCGTGCGTGCGTGCTCACCTAATTGTGCTTGCGGGGGTTGAGCATTGGCTCATTGGTCCCGCCTCTCAACTGTCAATCAACTGGTGTACAGATTCCTGAGCCTACTGGGCTCTATCATATCTACATTTCAAACTGTGTATGGAGTCAGCCTCCACACACTGAAAAAAATTCTTTCTAACGTCTCTGTGGCTCATCTGGGTACTAAGTTTCCACCTGTGTCCCCTTGTTCGTGTCCCACGTGCTGAGGAGTTTGTGTGTGTGTGTGTGTGTGTGTGTGTGTGTGTGTGTGTGTGTGTGTGTGTGTGTGTGTGTGTGTGTGTGTGTGTTTACTAGTTGTGTTTACTAGTTGTGTTTTTGCGGGGGTTGAGCTTTGCTCTTTCGGCCCGCCTCTCAACTGTCAATCAACTGTTTACTAACTACTTTTTTTTTTTTTTTTTTTTTTTTTTTTTTTTTTTTTTTTTTTTTTTTTTTTTTTTTTTTTTTTTTTTTTTTTTTCACACCCCACACACACACCCCAGGAAGCAGCCCGTGACAGCTGACTAACTCCCAGGTACCTATTTACTGCTAGGTAACAGGGGCACTTAGGGTGAAAGAAACTTTGCCCATTTGTTTCTGCCTCGTGCGGGAATCGAACCCGCGCCACAGAATTACGAGTCCTGCGCGCTATCCACCAGGCTACGAGGCTCCTTCGCGCTATGTGTGTGTGTGTGTGTGTGTGTGACATTCTTGGGTACTCACGTAATCTTCGCATCATTTGTCTTTTATAACTTCTCCCTCGTGACTGGCGATCCGTGGTAAGTGTGTCTGATAACCGGACGTTTGAGGGAGGTGTGTGTGTGTGTGGTAACCGGACATTCTTGAGTGGTAGCCGGACATGTGGGGCGTGTGGTCGCCGTCAGCCTTGTCCCTCGTGTAACCGTAGCTGGCGGCGGTGAGGACAAGGCGGTACAAGCGTTCCTCATAGAACTTGGAGAAGATGGACTTGTCGTCGTGAATAATTACCCGGAGAGGTGGTGGAGTGAGCCCCCGGGGACCTGCACGTATCTGGTTAAATGGCAGCGCTTTCTTCCTGGGGGGATACACACATATAAATACACATATTCTCACACATACTCGCACACATTCACATACAAACACTCACACACACACACATATGGGAAGAGTATTTTCACTTAATTATCCTGTTCACCTAGCAGTAATTAGGTACCTGGGAGTCAGCTGCTACGGGCTGCTGCCTGGGGATGTGTGTACTCGCCTAGTTTTACTTACCTAGTTGTGCTTGCGGGGGTTGAGCTCTGGCTCTTTGTAACCGACTCTTAATTGTCAATCAACAGATGTATAGGTTCCTGAGCCTACTGGGCTCTGTCATATCTACATTTGAAACTGTGTATGGAGTCAGCCTCCACCACATCACTGCCTAATGCATTCCATCTGTTAACTACTCTGACACTGAAAAAGTTCTTTCTAACGTCCCTGTGGCTCATTTGGGTACTCAGTCTCCACCTGTGTCCCCTTGTTCGCGTACCACCAGTGTTAAACAGTTTATCTTTATCTACCCAGTCAATTCCTCTGAGAATTTTGTAGGTGATCATGTCTCCCCTTCTGTCTTTCAGTGTCGTGAGGTGCATTTCCCGCAGCCTTTCCTCGTAACTCATGCCTCTTAGTTCTGGGACGTGTGTGTGTATTCACCTAGTTGTGTTTGCGGGGGTTGAGCTTTGCTCTTTCGGCCCGCCTCTCGACTGTCAATCAACTGTTTACTAACTACTTCCCCCCCCCCACACCACACACAAACCCCAGGAAGCAGCCCGTGACAGCTGACTAACTCCCAGGTACCTATTTCCTGCTAGGTAACAGGGTCATAGGGTGAAAGAAACTCATCGTTTCTCGCCGACGCCCGGGATCGAACCCGGGATCACAGGATCACATGTCCAGCGTGCTGTCCACTCGGCCGGCCGGCTCCCTGCAGTCTGTATTTACAAGTGTTAAAGAGATGACCAGGCGGGGGGGGGGGAGGTGACAGTGAGGGGATGGAGTGTAAAGGGGGGGGGGAGTGTCTCGAGCAGTTTCGTCTGCATTCGAGTTCTGTCCAGGGAAGATTGACTGGGCGCCAATCCTTGAATGTTCGCCCCTGTTCACCCAGCAGTAATTGCATAGGTACCTGGGGCCCAGATTCACGAAGCAGTTACGCAAGTACTTACGAACGTGTACATCTTTCCTCAATCTTTGACGGCTTTGGTTACATTTATTAAACAGTTTACAAGCATGAAAACTTCAAAATCAGCTGTTGTTATTGTTATAAACAGCCTCCTGGTGCTTCGGAGCTCATTAGCCGTTTAATAATTGTAAACAAAACCGCCAAAGATTGAGAAAAGACGTACAGGTTCGTAGGTGCTTGCGTAACTGCTTCGTGAATCTGGCCCCTGGTTGTTAATCGATTGGCGGGTCGTGTTCCAGGGGAAACAACCAAGGTAAGTCTTAACATGAGTGACGGTAGGAAAAGGCTCCAAACCAACTAACAAGAGTCAGAGGTCAACTACCCCTTGTATCTACAGGGTAGGTACAGGGTAAATAATCTACCTCTGT